AGCACCGAGGGTTGCGATCCCGTTGCCGGTCCCAGTCCGGTACGGGCGCGACACTGAGGGTTGCGGTCCGTTGCCGGACACGAAAAAAGACAAAAAGGAAAAAAAGAAAAAATGAAGTTATAAAACCATATGCGTAATATCCTATTTAATTACCAGACAGTACCTGTGTACATGTGTATGTGTATATGACCCAGGTATTTATGGTGATTATTTCTGAGTGGTGAGATTATGGAGATGATTTCTATTTCCTTTTTGCTTGGCTAAATTTTTTACAACCAGTGCATAGTCTTTAATTAAAAGGAAAAGTATCTTGAGAGCAAAAGGAGGATGAGTTTTCAGAAGAGGAGGATGACAGTGGACAGTCTGTGGCTCTGCTAGGTGACATGGTGCGATGGCCCTGGCCCAGCACCTTGCCGGCGGTGTGACCCTGGGCCAGCCATCTCATCCCTCTCAGCCTTGTTGGGATTGGATGAGATCATGTGATTGCACGTGCTTTGAAAGCTGTGGAGCAGACTTTCAGTGTTGGTGATCCTGTTACTCTGTGAACCAAGATGAAAGAGCTTCTCAGAAACTCTAGGAAGTAGTAGAGAATATTAGGGCTGGGTGGTGGCTGGTGCTGGGACTGTGTGGGAAAGGAATTCATGTATTTGGAGTGCTCAGAGTACTCCCTCCCCACACTCAGTCCCCAACCACATGTCCTCTCTCCCCCTGCTCGGGGCAGGTCTGCACACTGACCAAGGAAGACAATCGCTGTGTGGGCAAGATCCCGGAGGATGAGCAGCTGCACGTGCTGCCCCTGTACAAGATGGCCAGCACTGATGAGTTTGGCAGTGAGGAGAACCAGAATGCCAAGGTGGGCAGCGGGGCCATCCAGGTGCTCACTGCCTTCCCCCGTGAGGTCCGGCGCCTGCCTGAGCCGGCCAAGTCTTGCCGCCAGCGGCAGCTGGAAGCCAGGAAAGCCGCAGCTGAGAAGAAGAAGATTCAGAAGGAGAAGCTGAGCACCCCCGAGAAGATCAAGCAGGAGGCCCTCGAGCTGGCCGGCATCCCGACTGACCCAGGTGTGTGGGGGAGGGTGCCCGCCAGGGGTGGCATGGCCCTGTCCTCATGGGCCCTCATTCCCTTTGCCCCACCCCAACCTCCTGCATCATGCTCGGAACTCCAGACAGAAAGGTCTCGGGGTCTCTGCTTCCCTGTGTCAGTTAGAAAGACATCTGTGGGGCCAGCCCCGTGGCTCACTCAGAGAGTGCAGCGCTGGTAGCGCTGAGGCTGCGGGTTCGGATCCTATATAGGGATGGCTGGTGCGCTCACTGGCTGAGCGTGGTGTAGACAACACCATGCCGAGGATTGCGATCCCCTTACCAGTCAAAAAAAAAAAAAGGACATCTGTGTTGGCTCACTCAGAGAGTGCAGCGCTGGTAGCGCTGAGGCTGCGGGTTCGGATCCTATATAGGGTTGGCTGGTGCGCTCACTGGCTGAGCGTGGTGTAGACAACACCATGCCGAGGGTTGCGATCCCCTTACCAGTCAAAAAAAAAAAAAGGACATCTGTGGCAGCCCCAGGACACCCAGCATGATCAGAGGCACTTGGTAAAGCAGGTACAGAGAGGGCTTGTTATCTCCATGCAACTGAACTTGGCAGAGAAGGAGTCTTGGGTTTCTCCTCCAGCTTGCTCCTCTCTGAGGATCTGAAGCAGTAGCATCGCTGCACGGCACATGGTGTGCGGCAAGACAGCAGGGTTTGTGGGTGTGGGGTGGATGCTGGCAGGCAGCTGACTTCTCCTCTCTCCTGGCCCTGGTCCCTGCAGTGACTCTGCAGGGCATGCTGGGGGGCAGGGGGGTGGGGGTGGAGGGTGCTTCAGTGGGAACTTCTGGAGTTCGCTGAGGCAGGGAGGAGGAAGAGGGATGCAGAAGGGCCGTGGGCTCTGCATGAGCTGCTTCAGGGTCACCTCCTTCCACCCCGGCTGGGGCCTGTGCTGAGCGACGACTGAGCAGAAACTGTCCAGGGCTTGGCTTGGTCATGCCTCCCCTGCGTTGCCCATCCCGAGAGAGGGCGGTCCCATCCCGGCTCTCTGCACCCTCTCCATCTTGCCTTCTGTCTTCCCCAGGCCTGTCTCTGAAGGGTGGATTGTCCCAGCAGAGCCTGAAGCCCTCCCTCAAGGTGGAACCACAGAACCACTTCAGCTCCTTCAAGTACAGCGGCAACACGGTGGTGGAGAGCTACTCGGTGCTGGGCAACTGCCGGCCCTCTGACCCGTACAGCATGAGCAGCGTGTACTCCTACCATTCCTACTATGCACAGCCCAGCCTGGCCTCCGTCAACGGCTTCCACTCCAAGTACGCTTTTCCGTCGTTTAGCTACTACAGCTTTCCCTCCAGCAACCCTGTCTTCCCCTCCCAGTTCCTGGGTCCTGGCGCCTGGGGGCACAGTGGCAGCAGTGGCAGTTTTGACAAGAAGCCAGACTTCCATGCTCTGCACAACAGCCTGAGCCCGGCCTACGGTGGTGCTGAGTTTGCCGAGCTTCCCGGCCAGGCTGTTCCCACAGACACCCACCACCCTGCTCATCACCACCAGCAGCCTGCTTACCCTGGTCCCAAGGAGTATCTGCTTCCCAAGGCCCCACAGATCCACCCCGTGTCCAGGGACCCCTCTCCCTTTGTTCAGAGCTCCAATTGCTACAACAGATCCATCAAGCAGGAGCCAGTAGACCCACTGACTCAGGCTGAATCTGTACCCAGAGACCCTGGTAAGATGGGCAAAACGCCTTTGCCCGAGGCATCTCAGAATGGGGGACCCAGTCACCTATGGGGACAGTACTCAGGAGGCCCAAGCATATCTCCCAAGAGGACTAACAGTGTGGGCAGCAGTTGGAGTGTGTTCCCTCCTGGAGAGAGCCCTGCTGTAGTCCCCGAAAAGCTCAGTTCCTTTGGGGCCAGCTGCCTGACACCTTCCCACTTCCCGGATGGCCAGTGGGGGCTGTTCCCTGGCGAGGGGCAGCAGTCAGCTTCCCATGCTGGAGGTCGACTGCAGAGCAAACCGTGGAGCCCCTGCAAGTTTGGAAACAACATCTCGGCCTTGGCTGGGCCTGGCCTGACTGAGAAGCCATGGGGGGTGGGGGCAGGGGATTTCAACTCTGCCCTGAAAGGCAGTCCTGGGTTCCAAGACAAGTTGTGGAACCCCATGAAAGGGGAAGAGGGGGGGATTCCAACCTCAGGGGTGAGCCAGCTGGACAAAGCCTGGCAGTCCTTTGGCATGCCCCTGGGCTCCAGTGAGAAGCTGTTTGGGGCCCTGAAGTCTGAGGAGAAGCTGTGGGATCCCTTCAGCCTGGACGAGGGGATGGCTGAGGAGCCCCCCAACAAGGGGACAGTGAAGGAGGGGAAGGGTGGCGGGGGCGGTGCGGAGGAGGAGGAGGAGGAGCTGTGGTCGGACAGTGAACACAACTTCCTGGACGAGAACATCGGCGGTGTGGCCGTGGCCCCAGCTCACGGCTCCATCCTCATTGAGTGTGCCCGGCGGGAGCTGCACGCCACCACGCCGCTCAAGAAACCCAACCGCTGCCACCCCACCCGCATCTCGCTGGTCTTCTACCAGCACAAGAACCTCAACCAGCCCAATCACGGGCTGGCCCTCTGGGAAGCCAAGATGAAGCAGCTGGCAGAGAGGGCACGGGCACGGCAGGAGGAGGCCGCCCGGCTGGGCCTGGGCCAGCAGGAGGCCAAGCTCTATGGGAAGAAGCGCAAGTGGGGGGGCACCATGGTCGCCGAGCCCCAGCAGGAGAAGAAGGGGGTCGTCCCCACCCGGCAGGCACTGGCGGTGCCCACAGACTCGGCGGTCACCGTGTCCTCCTACGCCTACACGAAGGTCACTGGCCCCTACAGCCGCTGGATCTAGGTGCCAGGGAGCCAGCGTACCTCAGCGTCGGGCCTGGCCCGAGCTGCCTCTGTGGTGCTTTTGCCCTCACACCTGGGGGCGGGTTGGGGGTGCAGAAGTCTTTTTATCTATATATACATATATAGATACACATATCATATATATGTATTTATGGTCCAAACCTCAGAACTGACCCGCCCTTCCCTTCCCCTGCCTTCCCCAGCACTTTGAAGAAGAAACTACGGCTGTCGGGTGATTTTTTCGTGATCTTAATATTTATATCTCCAAGTTGGGTTTTTTTTCCCCCCTTGTTTGGGGGCTTTTGTTTTCTTTGTTTTTAAAACTTTGTCCTTGTATATCACAATAATGGAAAGAAAGTTTATAGTGTCCTTTCACAAAGGAGTAGTTTTAAATTCCATTTAAAATGTGTATTTATTGGATTTTTTTAAAGCGACAATAGTAATGGTAAAGGGTCGGCAGGAAAGGCCAGCGGTGCTCATCCCTGCCCGTCTGCTGGGCCTGGGTGCTGACGAGATCCTCTCAGCCCTGTGCCCCTCAGCCAAGCACGGATTGTAGCCACCCAGCAGTCCATCCCTCCCGGCAGACACACCTTCCCTTCGGGATCGGAGCCTCAGGACAGCCTCTGTCCTCTCCGGGAGGATGGGAGAATCTGTAGAAAAACACCTGGGGTCCCTTTTCCAGTCACTGGCTTGGAGTTGGGGGGAGCAGATGCACCCCAGACCAGGCCCCTGGGATGCTGGCATAGACCTCCCCAGAATCCAGGTTGGAAGTAGACGGCTTCAAGCTTGCTAGTCTCCACACTGAATCCTCTCTGTCCGTTATTTATCAAGTCACATGATGTCATGGCTCACTAGGCAGCACCTCCCGATGCAGCTGGAGTTGAGTGGCTTTTAGGAGCCGTCTCCACCACGTTGACAAGCCAATGAATACTGAGCTGAAGGAATTTGTCTTAGTGGCAGTTTTTTAAATGCCCCAAAGTCTATGCTGATACCGAAAAGGGCTACTGTATCTTTAAAAACAAGAAGTTGTTGAACCCAAGCTGTGAAAAACCAGCGTTGCTCTGTGCGGAGCCTGGTGCTGTAGTGTTGTGCTGGGACTTTCTTGACTCTTGTGCAGGTGGCGTCCTGCGGGAGCTCAGCAAACCAGTGTAACAGCGGTTAACGCATCTATCTTTACTCCTGGATTTCCACATTGGACAATGGTGCATGCCTCACCCTGAGCCCACCCCCTCTGTGCTGTCATATTGGGGAGGGGGGCCTACACTTAATTTTAAAGTGCAAGAGTCAAACGTTTTCAACAGGTTGCTATGATTTTCCTCCCTAATTGGTGCCATTTCTCTCATTTGATCATTTTCTCCTTTCCTTCCTCCCTTCTCCACCCACTTTAACACACCCGTTCTGAAATTCTGGTGCATTCGTTCAGTTCCTTGAAATGAGAATGTGGTGCTTAATTTTTGTGACATTGTTGAGAGGCTGGGCCCGACAGGTGGAAGCAACACTCGTCTACAGCAAGTCAGACTTCTTAGAGTGTTGGTTTTTCCTGTGGTATTAGCAGAGATGATCTCAAGCTACTCACGTGGATATGTGTGGTGAAGGGGGAGGGGCTTCATCAGGACACAGAGGGGAAGATGGCCACACACTGAATGACCACCAAGCCCTGACATAAACATCAGATATTTATTGAGCAGTTTTATTCAGATGTGGGTTTTCACAAATCAAGTTTCACAATCAGATGACAGTGCTAAAGGCAAGTTCCTGAGCTTCCAGGTGCCTTGTGTAAGAGCTGAGTACCGACCCACTGGGTGTTTACTGTAAGCTTTTGGAAGCACTGGCGGAGAGTCGCTGTAAGATGTCCTGAGCATTTATGTGGTCTGGTTTTAACTGTAAATAGTGAAAGATTTTTTTAAGCACTTTTGCCTAGATTTAAACAGCAACTTGAATAAAGTATGTTTTAACATGTAATTGTGGGAGAAATTGTATATAGTAGCTGAATATTTAACGTGCTTTGTCTATCCTCCACTTTTACCATGTTCTGTAAAGTTGCATTTATTTTACCGGACAAAAATGAAATATTATTGCTTTTGAAATAAATACCCAAGAGCTTATCAGGATTTAGAATTATTCAGAACTCAGATTTATAGGAAAACCTCTGACCTTCAGTTTGACAAGCTAAAGGAAGCAGAGTCTTTAATGAGCATGCTAACTTTCTAGTTCTGAGGAAAAGTTGGGTCCTTTAAATGCTGTTTTGCTTATCGCATCAGTACTTTTATGCAGGTCTCATTTGACTCCGTGCTTAGGTAGATGCGGGGGTGCCTTGAAAACTTCATTTTAAATGATCTTAAGCAAGAAATACAATATTTTACGAAACATTTGGAGAATGTGACCGTCTGTATGGCCCGTGGAAGCCCCAGGTTGGCTGTTGGTTTGGAAGGTTCTGAGTGTATCCCAGGTGATTCTGATACTTGGCATGTGTGAATCTTCCTGACGTATGTTAAGTATACTCTTCCCCTCATCACCCTTTGGTAGCAAAGCCATTAGATGAAAAGAGAAACCAATACAAGCTACAAGCATGCAACGCCTGTTCCCACCCCAACCCAAACAGTCTTGGTTCGTAAGTTCCCAGATTAGCAAACAGGCTGCTGAGAGGCAAGTCAAGGCAGTCTCCATTGGACATTCCCATTCCCCTCTGAATGGTGTTCTGAGAGTTAGGTGGTGCTTGCTGTTGCCGCGCTCAGCCCATGCTGATTTTTACACACTACATGTATAACCTACCTCAAATCTGTCATTAAAATTAGCATGCTTTAGACGTGTTTAAAAGTAACTATGCACAGCTCTTTATCCCTCCCCTTGCTGCTTAAGGTTTCTTAAAAAGAAAAATCAAATTTTTATTTTTTACTGGCACTATCATTTTTTAAGTCCTAAAGATGATTAACAGACATTTTTATCATGAGAAGAAAAATAAAGCCATTGCAACTAAAGAACCTAACAGCATGACCAAGTTTTAAGAGTCATTATAGCAACAAGAAATGATGGAGTCTTAGAGTCATCTCCCCCGTGTGCCCTGTCCACGGATATCTTCCACACACAGTGCAAACGTTTGGTTCCTTTTTTGCTTTTTGTTTTCCCTGCCTGTTGCGTGCAAGGGAAGTACTTGCAAAGTTCTGTGCTAAGAGATTTTTTAAAATAAAAATCGTTTTGCAGCAGGTTCTCACAAAATAACTGGTGCTAGCTCAAGAAATCATCTAATCATGACTAAAGGTGTTGCATGGATTTTTGGAGTTTTTGTTGTTGGGTCTGGCTTTTAGCAGGGCCTGAGTTTCCCACACCCCAGTTTCGTGGGTTCTGCTTTGCCTTCCCACCAAGATGACAGTGGTACATGTGGAAAGAGATCATATCCTGCCCCCTCTTGGCCCTTCCACCAGCCTCTTTTTGAAACAGTAGCTTGCAGAGCAAGGGATTTTCTAAAGCGCTAAGGCAAGGAAAGAAGTAGTAGAGCTTAATTGCTTTGTATCCAACAGCAGTAGATGTGCTAGGATGGTTGGTGATGAGTAGATGGTAACCTGGTTTTGGTGAAAAATCCAGCCAGACTTTCTCCTTGAAGCTTAACCTTTGTGAGGTCTCAAACCAAGGCAAAGCTGGTGGAAAACTGTATGATATCCCTGATGTGCCTCAACCGGAATCTCTTTCCTTTTGTTACTGAAGTGTGTTTCATGGACTAGGAAGCATTTTTATGAATTGAAATAGTCTAAATAAAATGGTGCTATGGTGTTTTAATGTGACTGTCCCTGGTCCTGTCTTGCTGAGGTGCTATCAACGTTCTGAAACCACAACCAACCAAAAACAAGGTGGGCTCCAGTCTCTTGGCTTTCTTTCCCCGCTCTTTTGGTGCTGTCTTCCTAGACCTCTGTTTACCGTGCTGTAATCTGCTCTGAACAGTTTGTTTTGTTTGTTGTTCCCTTGGTGGCCAAACGAAGCAAGGCAAGTCAAGAAGGCAGTCGCACCTCACCCTGGTGGGAGTGGGCCTGCCTGGCTTGGCAGGTGCTTGGAGTTCACGCTTGTCTTCTCGGCCAGAGGAGGAAAAGGGGCTGAGGATTTGGGTTTTGTTTTTGAGGGAGGGGAGTCGGGTACTCCTGCCTCTTCTAGCGTGGCAGTCATTCTCATAGCCAGGAGCACATGTTTTCCTGCTGTGGCCCCAGGTGCTAAGTGGACATCTCTGGGAGTCCTGAGGACACACCGGGAGATCACATGGAGATTCTTCCTCACCCGCTGGGTGCCGGAAGCTTAACCTTTGTGAGGTCTCAAACCAAGGCAAAGCTGGTGGAAAACTGTATGATATCCCTGATGTGCCTCAACCGGAATCTCTTTCCTTTTGTTACTGAAGTGTGTTTCATGGACTAGGAAGCATTTTTATGAATTGAAATAGTCTAAATAAAATGGTGCTATGGTGTTTTAATGTGACTGTCCCTGGTCCTGTCTTGCTGAGGTGCTATCAACGTTCTGAAACCACAACCAACCAAAAACAAGGTGGGCTCCAGTCTCTTGGCTTTCTTTCCCCGCTCTTTTGGTGCTGTCTTCCTAGACCTCTGTTTACCGTGCTGTAATCTGCTCTGAACAGTTTGTTTTGTTTGTTGTTCCCTTGGTGGCCAAACGAAGCAAGGCAAGTCAAGAAGGCAGTCGCACCTCACCCTGGTGGGAGTGGGCCTGCCTGGCTTGGCAGGTGCTTGGAGTTCACGCTTGTCTTCTCGGCCAGAGGAGGAAAAGGGGCTGAGGATTTGGGTTTTGTTTTTGAGGGAGGGGAGTCGGGTACTCCTGCCTCTTCTAGCGTGGCAGTCATTCTCATAGCCAGGAGCACATGTTTTTCTGCTGTGGCCCCAGGTGCTAAGTGGACATCTCTGGGAGTCCTGAGGACACGCCGGGAGATCACATGGAGATTCTTCCTCACCCACTGGGTGCCAGCCGGGAGCACGGTGGGCAGGGCTCGTTCCTTTGCTCCTGACAGTTGTCCCCCAGTGTAGCTCCTGCCTCTCGTTGGTTCAGACTAAAGGAGCTTGCTTTGCTCACTCGACGCCTCTGAGGCTGCTTTTCAGTTGGTGCTATTCTAAATTTCTCCTTGGGTCCACAGAAGTTGATGTTTTAAAAACTCAACAGGAAGCTCCATTTTGTGTCATCCACTGTCACAATAATTTTTTTAAATACCTCAAACACAGGACATCATGACAACTTCAGTATAGTAGATTCCATGAGGGCCTGATACCTGCAGGTTGTCCATTTGATGACATATTTGACCTTGAAGAATCTGAGGTCATTTTATTTTTCATTCTTCAGCAGTTAAAATGGCAGAATGCCTAAAGGAAGGATCATGGTTGGCTTTATTTTGTTTTCTTTTTAAGCTTGGCTTTTGAATAAAATGTGAATTTCCTATGCCCATCTCATTGAGCTTTCTCAGCCATCGTTGCTGTCATTGGAAATGACTCCCTCAAAACCTGGTTTGATTAGCCAGCTGCATCTGCTGTAGTACATGGCCAATTTCAACATACCCTGGACCAAACGAACATTTTTGAGGTGCATACCCCCAGCATGGGTTATACAAGCCCCCCACCCGCGAGCGAGCGCGGGGCCCCTGCCTGCCCGCCCCCCCCCCCAGCCAACTCCTGCAGAGCTGCTGGCAAGAGCAAAGTAACAGGCTTCTCCCCTGAGCAGAGACCCAGCACAGAAACGCAAGGTCTGAAGTTGCTTTTTGCCTAAGAATCAGCGAGCGGTTCGGCCTCCTTCCTCGTTTGCTTCTGTTCTGATATCAGGGATGCTTTTTGTGGTGGAGGTGTTTGCTCTCTCCTTCTGACTACCTGTCATTCAGGGGTAACTCGTCACTCTTCACACGGGGACTTAAATTGCTGATTGGCTCATTTGAACATTCCAAATTTTTTCTCCTTCTGACTACCTGTCATTCAGGGGTAACTCGTCACTCTTCACACGGGGACTTAAATTAAATTGCTGATTGGCTCATTTGAACATTCCAAATTTTCTTGGTCCCAATATCTTTTTTCTTTTGAAGGGGAAAAGTGGGAGAAAAGCAGGAGTGATGTCACTTCTTTTTCATGTATTCTAACTAAAGAAGCAAGGGCAGGTCGTACGTGGCATACTGATGCATTAGACTGAATCTACGAGCCCTGTAGCTTTTTGATGTGTTTTATTTTTTATCTCTTTGAATTCCTGTTTGGTTACTTGGCTTCCAATGGAGGTGAACTTAACAACCATACTTGAATATTCCGTCTTGACTTTGTAAACTGTGGCTACTTGAAATGAAGTTTATCTGGGGTTGATGGATGAATGGTAGATTTTTGCAATGTCTCAAGGCAATAGGATGTGTATTATTAAACTGTAGATATTCTTAGTACAGTAAATTTATGCTGATAATTTTATTTTGTATAATTTTTACCTTTTTGTTAATATTTTTTCTTCCCACTTTATTGGTTTGCCTCCTGATCTACCCCTCCTTACCCTCCTGTCTGCCCCAGTGTTTCAGTAAATTTAATTTAGGGTGCCTAGAAATTGCAAGTATGTATCCTTTTTTGATTTGTATCTTATTATAATTTACACAAACAACTGGGTTTGTGAACTGTATTACTCCTGGTATCTTTAAAATATTGTGGGTGTTTTAATAAATTTTATATTTATTTTTTGCACTCAAATTCAGTGTGGGTCCTTTTTTACCCCCTTGAACCAGGACTACATGGTGTTATTTAAGGTACCCTGTAATCTCACCCTCCCACCATATGTTGCAGATGCACAAATGAAGCCCTCAGTAATAACTACGACAGAACCTGTCCTTGTCCTTTCTGCCACCTGGATAAAGTACTGTGCTATCAGCTGTGAAGGGGAAAAGCAGAAATGACCTTTTCCTCATCTGTGTTTCTTCTGTTTTCTTTTCATCTTTTAGTCCCCTTTTCTCACTCCTCTTGGAGATACCCCCCTCCCATTAAGTTAACTTCTGCTGTTGCGTTTGCTAAAGGATCATGAGGCCTGCTTGGTTCTGATGGCTTGAACACCATGTCTGGTTGTGAGGAGCAGACATGGAACCCTAGATCCTACTGCCCTTGGGAGAGGAGATTTCTCACAAAGTCCGATGTTTGGAGCTACCTTTTTAAATTAAATTCAGCTACCCAGTGCTAGTGGAGGCTGTGCTTGAGAAGGGAACTGTGAGTTGAAGAAGAAGAGAGAAGGGTAAGGGCGGGGAAGCCATCCCCTCCCTCTTCCTCTTCTTCTTCCTCCTGCTTGAACGTCTGACTGGAATTGAGCCAGTGTCTCTGAAAGACACCAGTCCTGTGGTCAGTAAAGACTTGAGTAACATCCCATCAGGGCACTCTAGACAGGAACACTCACCTCAGAGGGCCTCTGAGTGGGAACCCATGACCATGATGCATTGATTCATTTCCACTTTGTTTCAGTGGCGAAAGTGAAAGGCCTTGGCACACAGGGCTATCTGGGGACCTCACATGCCTTTGTATGTTTTACAGAAGTTGGGTGCACTGTTTTCTAACCTTCTATTCTCTTCAAGTTGAAAGAGACCTGGTTCAGTCCCCTTCCCAAGTCCCTGTCATATGGGCCCCTCTCCAGGGCCTGAGGGGAGGGACAGGACATTTCAGCTTCAGCAGGAGCTGATTCCGCTTTTAGGAGCTATAAATATGCTTTCATCTCTCATATAAATTCCATGTTAAATATAGAAAAATTAGGAGACAGAAGTTTTTAAAAAATTATCTGAAATCCCATTACGAGAGAACCACATATTGGTTGCAAACATTTTCTTACTGTGTAAATATGACCATATGTGTATATGTATCTTTAAAAATGGAATACAATATTATGTTGTAATCTTTTTTCACTTAATATATCTTTAAATATCAGTAATACAGAGCTGCATCTTTTTAAGTAGTTGCCTAATATTTCATCACATGGATATAGAAGCATTTAATCATCCCAATGTTGTTATCAAACTCTAAGATCCCAACTTGTTGCAATTATAAATTGAACTAATCTACATCTGCCTCCGTGTAAGTACCACCCACAGAATTTCTTTCTGTTCTAAGAAGCATCATGGTGAATACCCCTCCACCACCTGACTACATCCTTAATTCCCTGAACCCTCTTGGGACAGTTCCAGACCGTATCCACCCCCATCCCACCACACCACACCACACCACACCCTGGTCGGTCCACATCTAGACATCGTTCTTTGTACTGGGACCTCTAGAAATGAACCTCTTCCGGATGGGATCTGGCTGATCTAAGCCAAGCATGGAGACACCCAAGGAGCCTCATGATCTGGACACACCATTTTTATACATGCACACCAAGGTTTACTAGTTTTCTAAGCAGCTGAGTCATACCAAGGGCTGTGGCTCTGGAAAGAACCTGGCTCCCTCACTTCCTGACTCTGTGATGTGAGATGAGCCCTTTCATCTCCCTGTGTCATTTTCTTTATAAAACAGGCTAATGATACTTACCACATAAGATTGATGATGAAGATTTTTTTTTCTGGAAAGAACCTGGCTCCCTCACTTCCTGACTCTGTGATGTGAGATGAGCCCTTTCATCTGCCTGTGTCATTTTCTTTATAAAACAGGCTAATGATACTTACCACATAAGATTGATAATGAAGATTTTTTTAAAAATGCTGAAGTAAAAGTGCCAGACATTGTGGACATGGCAGGTAATAAAAGCTATCATTGTTACTCTCGACATATACAAAGCTTCAGGTCACTAAAAAGTTTGAGACTAGTCTTAGACCACATAGTGACCTCTTATGTGAGCTACTGCCAAATCAGGGCCCCAACTCCAGTTTCCATGCAATTTAATTTTTTCAATGCTTCACACAGCCCCTGAAGTTTAGCCATCTTAAATGGACTTTAACACATCGCCCTGCCTATTTTGAGTCTTAATTTTGTCAGAGTGTCATTTTCCCTTCCCAGCTATGCAAGTTGTTCAACAACCTTATCACAAGTTCTTCTACTGATGCTCCTACAGGCTTCTTAAGTTTGGAGAGCTGTTAGTCACCTTTATGTGTCTCCTTGTATTCTGAAAACAATAGGCTCTCAGCAGCCTGTAGTAGGACATGAAGTCTTCCAATGCATACTCCTGTCAGAGCCACAGGGACACCGTACGTGAGAGACAAAGCTTTGTCAAAATCCAGGTGCCTCCGGCCCCAACCCCACTCCCACGTCTGGAAGTCTCGGCGGCCACCCTTCCCTCCTCTTCTGAGAAGCCCAAGCCCAGGCCCCCTGAGCCGCCCAGTTTCCCTTCCTGAGCTTCCACCCATCTTCCTGCACTGCTGCCCTCTCTTCTGCACATACACTGATCCCTCCTCCTTGGTTCCCTGCCCCCCCCCTCCCCCGCCACCACTGGCTTTTACTCTTGATTCGTCTCCTCTGCGACACGCTTCATCATTACCCCCTTGCTGTGGTTTCTCCCGCTCACGGGCTCTCAGGTCCGCCCTTCCTGACCCTGCTCCTCCTCATTCAGGCCTTTCCTGCTCCTTCCTAACAACACCACTACATGTCTGCAGGTGTAGACAACCTCCAGGCTTCACCCTCCAAGCTGCTCACTAGCTGTGCCCTGGTTTGCCTAGAAGCTGTCTTCTAGGCCAAGGATCCCGTCCTTGTTGATCTCTTCGAAGCCTTGACTCTGTGGATCCCCCTGCAAACCCTCTGTTCCTGGGCTGCATGGCCAGTAACGTGCCGTTGTCCTGCGACTCTGAAGCCTTCTGCCACTTTTTATGGGCCTCTTTGTGCCCTTGTGTCCTTTAAACACGAATGCCCCCAAGAATCGACTCGATCTTCTCCACAGCTTATTAGCTTTCCCTCAACAGACATGTTCAACCACCACGCCTCAACTATGACCCCAATGCCAATGATTTCCAAAACAATGTCTAGCCCTGGCCTCCCTCATGAGTTTGGGCTGCTGGATACCTTTAGGTGGCTATTTGCCAGGGCCAAAGTCTTAAACTCAACACAACTAAAACTGACCTC